GAATTGCGAGTTATAAAGTCAGAATTGCGAGATATAAAGTCACAAAGGCTGGAGTCTATGAGATAAAGAGCAGCGTCGAGGCCAGAAACCTCAGAAAGAATGAACTCAAATGTTTGCTCTAATTTCTTAATCTGTATAATTAAGTGTAACTCTTTTCTTTGCCTTCATTAAAAAAAAATATATATATAATATGATCAAATGTCATTTATTCATTAAAAACTGCAGAATATACAAATGACTTCAGTTTCAGAATATACAGAAATCAAATTCACTGAAAATTTAATTTGGCAATTAAAAAAAATAGTGGAACTCACGTTGACTTTTGGCTTTTGGAGAAGCAAATCTCATCGTTATTTTCTGTATGGAGAAAATTAATGTGTTGTTTTTTTTTTTTTTTTTACTTATGTCTGTTGTACGACAAAACCGGATCAGCATATAGTGCAAGTTTTTGAGCTGTGATTATTTTGCATGTTGCAAAGTGCGGTTTTGTTTTTATTATTTTTTCCAAACCTTTATGCTTGTTTTAAAGCAATCAGTGCTCCAGATCATTTTAGTGAGGATGCTGCTTCAAAAAGCACCTGAGTTTGGTGAATACACTAGAAACACATTCATAATGCGTGTGGAAAAAATCAGCCTGTCACAAAGATCCATGTGTTTCACTTTTACTAAACATGTCAAAACAGTTGTCAAATGTGTGTGTGGTTTAGTGGTTATTGAAGCTTGTTGCTGGTCAAAGCTGCTGTTCCTGTGATCAGACAGAGTCATTGATCCGCTTCAGATGAGAAACACAGAGACACAGACAACATCCTCACTGCAGACACTCACTCGCACACTTCTTTCTTTCTTTGTTTTTTTGCCATAACTTTTTTTTCGAAACGTATTCATTATATATGTGGTTATTGTGCATGCTAATACAAAATATCTACTTTTGGAAATATTGAACTTTAATTTTAACAATGTTAGGAACTGCCTTTCTATAGATTGATATGGTTTATAATTATTAAATCTAAAGATTCTATGGGTTGAGAGTACACTGTATTTCTTTAATTATTTCCCCAAAAAGCTTTTGTATTTTCAAAATGTTTTTTTTTTTAAAGTTTGTATATTAATATGCAATTTGAACACTTATTCATTAAAAATCTGCTGATTTTTCATGCATTCTAAAACCAAAATGACTACTTGCACTTTAATTTTATTTGAATTTTACCAGCATATGAGAGATTGAAGTTTTCTACAGAAAACTTTTGTTTCTCATTTTTTCTTTCTTTTAATTTTTTTCCCCAAAATGAAATGTATTGGAAACGTAGCTTTCCATTAATATGCTATTTTAGACACTTACTCTTTAAATATGTGCTTATTGTTTTAATATTGCACACTATTTTAATAGTATGCGAGAAATTGAAAATGTCTATAAAGAACAGATCGTTGATATGTTTTATAATTGTTTATTAACTTTAGAGGTACTATGGGTGCTACTGTTATAAGATAACTAGTATACAATACTATAATACTATTTTGTTCCTTTCTTTTTCTTCATTTATTTCTTTTTCTTTATTACTTTTTGAAAATATTGCACTTTGTATGTTCATTTTAACAGCATGTGAACAAATTTAAGATTTCTTTAGAATAGATTGTTGATATGGTTTATACACCCCTATTTTTTATAAAATCAGAAAGCACAGCTAGTACAAATACAAAATCTCTTCAGCAACTAATGAATTGTTGAATGAACGGTTTTCCAGGTTTGGTTGGTTTTGTTTGGTTTTCTGTGGTTCAGCTGCTGTCATGTGCACTTTCTCATACGGTTTAATCAGTCAGAGAGCTGAGCTGTGACTTTCACTCTCATTTACTCTCACACAGACAAGTAGAACAGTATACGCAGTTTGCGTTCAGTGGATATTCTCCAAAATTACGCTACGGTGACGCGGAGGCGACGAATTGTTGAATAAAGTCGTTATTTTTGTTTTTTCCGCGTACAAAAAGTATTCTCGTCGCTTCATAAAATTCAGATTGAACCACCGATGGCAGATGGACTATTTTGACGATGTCTTTCATACTTTTCTGGGCCTTGACAGTGTTATTTACTTGGCAGTCAATGTGGCGGTCACAAGCCTCCCGGTTTTCATCCAAAATATCTTAAATTGTGTTCCGAAGACGAACAAAGCTTTTACGGGTTTGGAACGACATGGGGGTAAGTGATTAATGACAACATTTTCATTTTGGGGTGGAGTAACCCTTTAAATAAGAAATTAGTTGTTTTGTGTTTTGCCTGCTTAAATGAAGGTGAAACAAACATCCTGCTCGGCAACTGCCAAATGGCTCTTAATTAATATAAGCACATAAATACAGTTAGCAAAATATGTTTTAAAATGCTATTTTAAATAAAGCATGTTTGCAATTTGCATGTTCTGTCCAAGTATTTCAAGTCAAATATCCATGTTTATTTAGAAAAAATAATCATATAATGTCAGACAATCGGTGCAATGCAACAAAAATAGAAACGGGGAATCTGTGAACTAAAGATGCAACACACTGAGTCACTCTAGTGCGCTCACTTCTCTCAAGTTGTGATGCAGTTATACTGTGATGGATCACTGTATGATGTATTGTGATCTGTGTCTGTGCAGGTATTTCGTGTTGGACCCTGATCTGGGTCAGCTGCAGTATTTCATGAGCGAGCAGGGACGAAGTCAGAAGCCCCGCGGATCCCTGCCTCTGATTGGTGCGTCTGTGATGTCGAGCAACGAGGCACCTCACATGTTCATCGTCAGCTCAGCCAATGGGGAGCTCTTCAAACTCAGAGGTATTTTAAACTTGCTTTCTGAGCTTCATGTTGCGCTTGTGTATCTCAGGTCAGTGCATTAGTGTGACGATGAGCTAAAGGTTACTTGCTTGCGCTGCATTGTTGGGCTGTTACCACGGCATCCAGCGGCATCTGTTTACAAAAGTCATGTTTCATGCAGGAGTTTGTGCATTTATTCAGTATTTGCTCTCTGTAGTGCTGGAGGATTTAGTACTGAGAGTCTCATTGACATTCAGTCTATTTCTCAGTCTGTCCAGCCATATGGAGAAAAACTGTGTGAAATAAACAGATGATTCACTTCCATTATGATGTCAGTTCTAAACACTACCATTCAATAGTTTCATTTTTTTAAATGCTTTTATTCAATAACGTCGCATTAAATTGATCAAAAGTGACGATAAACACATTTATAATGTTACAAAAGATTTTCATTTCAAATAAATGCTGTTCTTTTGAACTTTCTATTCATCAAAGTATCCTGAAAAACAAAATGCATCTTGGTTTCCACAAAAAGATGAAGCAGCACAACTGTTTTCAACATTGATAATAATCAGAAATGTTTCCGCATATTAGAATGATTTCTGAACATGGGCATAGAATACAGAGGGGATGTGTCCCCGTAGTTTTTTTTCGGGCGTGTTCACTTAGAGGTTTTCAAGGGCCAGTGTGAGTAAATCTAGATTTAAATTCAAAGAGACCAGATTGTCTATGCATGACCTGTTGTTTTATTCGGACCCAAAACGAGGCAATGTGAACATTACGGATACACTCTAATACAGTGTATGTTTCATTCATACTAGAAGCCACTGCTCTCACACAGAAAGTCCAAAATGGACTCATAGAAGCAATAACTTTTGACTTGCCAGGAAATCCCTAATATGGACAAACTAGGCATCCATCTATCGCTGTAGCTAAGCTGAATAAAAAGCAGAAACGTTCTGACTGATGAAACGTGAAGACAATAAACACACGATTGCAATCTATGGTTTATGTAGTCTCAGCCTCAGACGTCATGCCCACGAACCATTGGCTGAACGTCTGATGCATACGGCACACGCAAATGCCATGATGCAGTTTTGAAAAAGAAACACTGATGTGCAATGTATGTTTCATTCATACTCGAAGCTGGAGGACACTCTCGCGCACAAAATCCAAAATTGACTCATAAAAGTAACTTATGACATGCCAGGAAATCCCTAATATGGACAAACTAGGCATCCATCTATCGCTGTAGCTAAGCTGAATAAAAAGCAGAAACGTTCTGACTGATGAAACGTGAAGACAATAAACACATGATTGCAATCTATGGTTTATGTAGTCTCAGCCTCAGACGTCATGCCCACGAACCGTTGGCTGAACGTCTGATGCATACGGCACACAAAATTGGAAGCACTTCGGGAGTTTCGAAGTCGTCATCGGATTGGTTGAATTATACAGGGTTTCCGGGAGATGTGCGTGTTGCATTTTTAAATGTTCCGCCTGGAAACAAAGATGCCGTGACGCCAAACCCCCTCATGTAAGAAGAAAGCCGTCGTGTTTACAACTGTGATAATGAGCGCTTATCAGGATCAACTGAACGCTGTTTTTTTAAAAGTATGTGAAATATTTAATGTTCACGGCATAGAGTCTTTAAAATACGTCCAAGAGTTTTACACACAGTCTGTTATTGTGGGGACATTTCCACTCCCCTAAACATGACGCGGCACAAAACGAAACATGATTGGTTGCTTTATCTGTCAGTCATATGGCCTCGTGGGCGGTCCTTGACATTCAAAGCGGCCAAGGTTCCCAGACCTTCTGCTCGTCCGTCTGAAGGTCTGGCTACGCGAGACTATGGTTTGTGTGTGTTTTTCAAGTCATCTCCAGGTAATAAATAAATAAAGTATATGAATAATGCTGTGCTAATTGACATAGCATTTATTACACTATAGAAACTATAACATATATATTTCTGCCTTATTCTGTGATAAAAACGGAAAAAAGTGTTTGTAGTATATAAACCAATCATAAAATTGTCATAAAGAAAATAAAGGGGGGAAAAATCATACAAATTACTGTCCAGCAGTGTTTTTGATTTCTTAACCAATTAAAAGAGATAAGGAAAAAAAACATCAATTAGACAAAAAAAAAATGGCTACGCCCCTGTTTCTGAAAGATCATGTGACACTGACGACTGGAGTAATGATGCTGAAAATTCAGCTTTGAATAACAGGAATAAATTATATTTTAAAATATATTACTTTAAATATATATTTATATATTATTTTAAATTGTAATACTATTTCACAATATTGCTGTTTAGAATTTGCTCACTGCTGCCATCTCAAGGGGTTCTGGGTATTTACCATGAGGTTTGGTAGCTGGTTTCTTCTGGTCCAAGGTGGTTCTCAGTAGTGAGGATTTGGCTAAGCTATTAAACCATCTTGGTTAAGGGCCTTGATGGTGAAAATCAGGCCATTTCATCTTAAATCCAGCATGAAATCAACGCTTACCATTTTATTTTTATTTATTATTAAAATATAATATATTATTTATATTTATTTTGGTATTTTTACATTAATACATTTTTTATTTTATATTTATTTATTTAGAATAATTGTATTTATTTATATGTATTTACTTAGATTTTATTTTATATTGATTTTATTTTATGTGTTACATATTTTATGTATTTTTATTTTTTGATTTTTGGCACCTTTATTTAAAGGTTCAGTTAAGAAAGACTGGGTAAAAAGATCAAAAGCAGCCAACATTATAAAAGGGATCCAAGTCTAACTGTATTGTATGGATAGGATTTTTTATTTAAAAAAATTTTAAAAAGAAAGTTTTGAATACATTGTTTTATTTAAAATGTTTCCTGATGCATCCGTTTTTTGTGTCTGAAATATTTCCATGTATTAGTTTAGCACACCACATCTTATGTAATATTTTGTATTAGCATGCTTGTTAAACCAAATTAATAATAATTAATTTAAAATTCCAAATATGGAGTTTTATTCATCAATGCAGAACTGTTTGAGAAAGCATCATGATGCATAAATTTTTTAATACAGTTAGTACACACTGTTGTTCTCGGATGTATGTGCGTGTGTGTGCGTGTGTATTATGTGGTGGTGTGTTTATTTTTGGACGGCTGGTGATCCAGTCTTTCTCCAGCACTCATTAATCTGGAGTCTGTTTCTGGTTTATTCAGGCTGTAAAGTTAAATTTAAAGCCCTTCTGAAGCTCAGTGAAGTTTGATGATTTCAGCTCAAGTGTTTCATTGACGCTTGTTTTGACTCTAGGAATAGTCTGACTTCCTGTTGAATGTGGAAGTGATGCGGTGTCGACACGCTCAGGGTCACTCGTCATTGTGAAAGATCAAAAGGATGTTTCATTTACTGTGCCAGTGTGTTATTTTAGTATCAGTGAGATACTGTTATACTGTAGTTTTTATTAAGAGTTTGATTTTTTTTTTTTACAATTTATTTTTATAGTAATTTCTTTTAAATTGTGTTGTTTTTTGTCATTTTTATTTAATGTTTTTTTTAAAACATGTATATATATTTTTATGAATTTTATTTCCGTTTTAGTTATTTTAGTACATCAGGTTAAACTAAATAAATGAAAAATGTTGCCTTGGGAACTAACTGAAATAAAGGCTTTTTAGTATTTTATTTTATTCAGTTGAAGTTTATTTTATTTCTAGTATTTTTTATGGTATTAGTTTTAGTTAACTAAAATAACCCTGGTAACTAATACATTAATACTTTGCATATTTCCTCTCCCTCTCTCTCATGTTTCCTCCTGTAATTCCTCTATCCCAGCGGTGGATGCCACAGAACAGCAGCTTTGGATGACGCAGCTACAAGCCTGTACCAGACGCCACTCTGACAGCAGTGCCAAGGTGTGTGTGAACACACACACACACACACACACACACACACACATACAAAACATACATGTTGTGGAGTCTGTTTGAGAGGAGAGCAGGGAAAGTGTTATAGGAGAATCAGTTTTTTGTATTTGAGAGATTCTGGGTAGTGTGTCAACCCAATACGAGTAAATCACTAGCATATGCGACTAAATTTCCATGCTAGGCAACCAAATAATGTCTATCGTTAGCCGTTGGCTAATAAATTGTTAGATTTCACTCGCCAGTGTTTGAGTTAGAGGCTAAGTATAAGTTTAACACCGATAATTCACTTGCCTTCACTCATTATGAACACTGCGCACTTGAGTGTTCATCGCTCTCTGTCTTTAAAGCACACTATTTTAAATCATCTCAATGGATGCACAGCGCAGCGTAAATTACTGTATATTCCTTGTTGTATTTTCCTGTCAAAATAGTTCATTTGGAATTATTCAGCCTTTGAGAACAAGCACAAGCCACTTCCGGTTTCTTCGGTAGTGGGCGGAACTAATGCACAAACTGCAATCTTATTGGCCGGCGCTCACCTATTACCGTCACTGCAGAGCCGTTGAGAAACAGAGTTGCGACACTCCCATAGACTTCCATAGGAACTGAGGAATGCGGAAGTAAAGCGTGCCCTGGAGCAGCCAATAGTTCCAGCAATGATGCCGATTTATTTCAGTGCTTCTGTAGCACACTCGCCAAAAATGGAAGAAATTACTGCATTTTTTGACATTTTAATGCTTTAGTTGACCTCTGGCCAGTAGTGTTATGTTATGAAGAGCATTATAGTTAATGTTTATCGTTAAATAATAGACAGTTATACTATAATTGCAGTTAGATAACATGAGAAACACCTTAAGAGCGACCATAACCAGATGCTAGTTGTCATATTTTTAAAGTGCCCCTATTATGCCTTTCCGAATATTACCTTTCATGCAGTGTGAGCTGTATGTGAGCATAAACTATCTGCAAAGTTGTGAAGCCGACAGTGCACAATAAATAAAGTTCTGTCAGGACCACTATCGTCAAAATGATAGATACTTAGCATAAAGTTTGGTTTGGCGGTATGGTTATGTTCTGGGCAAAAACCTCCCTGCCCATCCATGCAACCTGTCATGAATGAGCAGGGAGAGCAGCAATAATAACCCCCCTAGGGTTAACAGAACAGAACAAGGCAGATATCATTAATGATATTTAAGTGTAACACTTTATTCAAGATAAAGGAGTCTGATTAGCAAGGAATATCAGAAAGCCAAGTCCTGACTGTGGCGAAAGGAGGAGCTGGGGATGGAGGAGGGTAATTTGCTCCGGAGCAAGCTGAAAAGCTGCTGAATAATACTGAATAGAGCTTATATAGGAATGCCGCAATAGGTGTCGTATTCCTATAGGTAGATGTGAAGACACAGCGATAGGCCAGAACCGCCCAAACCACAACCGATGGCATTCTGAAAGAAGCATATCCTTCTGGAATAACAGAGACTGGGGCAGCAGCAACTTACAGGAGAAGGCAGCGAATGGGTGCTCTTCTTTATAAGCAGCTGAGCAGCAAGCCCCTTACCGGAGGAGAGTAGCAGCGAAGGGGTGCTCTTTATAAGCAGCTAAGAAAAGCAGCAAGCCCCTTACCGGAGGAGAGTAGCAGCGAAGGGGTGCTCTTTATAAGCAGCTAAGAAGAACATCAAGCCCCTTTAATGCAAAACCTGAAAAAGATGCAGAAGTTTGCAGCAAACATAGCGTACTGCAGCCATAGAAGCGAGCAATGAACGGATCAGAG